CCAACCCCACCCCCGCCCCCCCCACACCCACACACCCACACCCAGAATACTCTCAATTCGAATATATATCGCAAATATGGTTATCGGTGTGAGGTTGAAACGCCATTGATCGACGGAGCCCCAATAAAAAATACGTATTTCAATCCAGATTTCTTGTTGTTTTCGTACATAACCTATTATTTTTCGCCTAGCATTTATGAACAAGCATTTCAGAAAGCGGCCCTAAAATATTTCGAATGGATGCCTATAGAAACTGGGTGCGACTTTGACAAGTACGAAGATTTCCTCAAATATACTCCTATAATTGGTATTTTAGCTTATAAATAAACTCGTTCTGAAAAAAAAACAGTCACTTAGATATAGCTGATACAAAATTTTCAATTGATTTTTATTTTCAAATTTACACATTGTATTAGTTTTTTTTGCATGAAATTTAAACATTGATCAGACCAAGTTTATTAAAAAAATCAACAAAACAATAATTGAAAATTTAAGTCAAGCTCAAAAGCTAAACATATATTTCAATTCAATATAATTTCGGTGATTTCTTCAATTTTCAGTTTTTAAAACGACAGTGAATCTCTAATGAAAAATAGTTCATTATCATTTTTGATGATATTTTCAACCGAAAAGATTTACTCTTGAGACAATTCTCTTGGTAATTCTTGACTGTCATCTCTGTTAATACAATTTACCAAGATGAACACATGACTTTAAACAGCGAAAATTCAAGTTCATACAATAAAAATTTCTTTAAAGTCACTAGAAACCACTGAAAATTTTACGAAAAACATGGGTATTCATAATTTATGTTAAAAACATTATTACTCAATGTTTAAAGCGACTTTCAGTCCCTACATCATAACAAAAATTTGTAGAGAATATAGTTCTAATAATCACTTTGAATGAATCCCTTAATATTTACCTCTTCATCAAAGTCTACTACATCCATTGAACATGATATAATAATAACCGTAGATATTCTTAATTACCTATTGATAAACAACTGTGATTGTTTAAACTTTCTTTCATTGTTGATTCAATACGAATACTGAAAAACTACTAAAACATACGAAAAAATTCAGTAACATCCAAGGAAAGTATATTAACGATTGGTAACTGACCAATTTTTTTACGGATGTCGACAACAAAAAACATACGATGCTAAAGCTACATATCTAAATGAGTTATTACAGTCTATCTAGTGCATTCGTACGTTTTCCAACATTTTGAGTCATTTATAGATATTTCTCAAGAAATAGCTCTTAGTGGATACTATTTGAAAATAGGAATCTTGCATATCAAAAGGAGGATTATGAATACCTATGGATATTTATACAAAATTTTGCTATTTGTAGGTAGCACATGATTGATAGCATTCATCTGTATTTAATTATGACGAACATTAATTATTTTGACATTGAACTTTGATTGTATACTGATTGAAAAGAATAGAAGACAAGTAGTTACTACGACAAATAATCTTTTGAATACAATCATTAAATCATCTGGCACTACTTGTATTCTTATTATTTGCCAACAAAAGCAAATAGTTTATTCAAGTTTCATATACTAGAAATCTAATTACATTTTGGTAGTTACATTGCTCATTAAATATATTCATTACGAATAAGAACGACTGAATATTCGGTATCAAATCGACGAATCCGTTTAGACATGATCAATTTGATCGACTCGACGTATCCAAGTCAGCATCAATGTGTTCTTCCCTTCTTCTTTGTACCACTTCTTAAATCTCATAATGAGTTTCTTTTAAGGATGAGATCAAGTTGAAGATGAGTCTATTTACTTTGTATGGTTTGCAAAGTAAAAGAAGATAAATAGCCGTGGTGGCAATACAACATTTCATGTCTCTTTATTATAACGCACCCAGATGTATTCTTTTTCTACCTCATGCATTTTTAACAAATTAATATTCCTGTTTTACCATCTGTGTCATAGTCGACAGCTACAAACCCATGATCAAGTTGTGTTGATAAACAATCTCATTGGTTATAGGTACCCAATTTGACAGGATTGAAATGCGTCATGAGATACGTCAATAGCAACTGATATGTTCGAATAATTGATAAAATTAAATATTGATATTCTTTTAACTTTGAAGAATGGGTACATTTTTTTAGAAAGAAAAGTTCAATGCTCATTTAGGTCCTCATTGACAGTTAATAAATAACATAATACTGTTCCCTCAATGAAGTATACAAAAGATGGTGTAAGATTCGATCTTTTTCTCCTGGATGATAAAATATCTGAAGTGTTCACAAGCCCAAGATTATTCTTTCTAATAGTGATATCTGTTTCTTGAAAATTCTTCAATAAATGCCTGTGTTTCAATGAAGAAAAAAGGTCCAAATTTAAAGGAATCGGTAAAGAACACAAGTCATTATATTTTTTTCTAAACTGAGATTCATTTCTCGACCTGACATTTAATAATAAAAGAAAAATATTGCGCATATTCCTTCTTTGTAGGCTACTATAACTAAATTAACCGTAAGTATCTATTATATGTATTGAGTAAACATTTTATTATAACTGGACGAATCCGTATCAATCTTTCAATTTTCGATTGAAAACATCATTACAAATATACATTTCGTAAATTATGAAATTTATCTATATCCATTTACTAGAGGTCACTAGAAACTGTATTCATCTTATTTGACCAATTCAATTGGTCTTTATTGTTCTCTAATCATATGGATTGATAATTTCGTACTTGATCATCACTATATTAAATATACTTTCTATTTCTACTAGGTTCATATTTTATTCTGATTTTTTTCAGATTATCTGTAGTTGACGACATGGTTAAACTAAGTGAGCATGAATCTTCTTCTCTAAGTTTGTATCTATTTTTAAAAATATTTAGACAAAAAAAGTAAACGAGTTTCTTGTGCACATCGATATAGCATTGCCAAGAAAGTTCGTGGTCATAATAAAAAAATGCGTAAAGAAGCACGAAAACATCCTGAGCATAAAAGTAAGTATTAGCTTAATATTCTAATTTGTTTATTGTAACTTTTAATTTTAAATAATTAGAAAGAAAACCAAAAAATATACAAATTCCAAAACTAGCTCCGTTTAAAAATGAATTATTACAACAAGCTGAAGAAGCTAAAAAACAAGTTTGTTTGAGAAAATAATTCATTGATAATCATTTTTATTCTTCCTTGTTTTTTAGTTAGAACAAGAACGACAATTAAAGAAACAACAACGTGCTTTAGCTCGTCAACAACAAAAAGATGAACGGCCTAAATCTTTAGAATCAATGATAGGTGATGCTAAACGACGACAAGATATATTTGATCATGAACAAGTCTCAACAGTAAATTTAATTTATCTTGTTTCATATTTAATCATTTTCTATTTATTTAGAATGATCATATGCATTTATCAACTGAAGTTGGTGAAGGAGATGAAAAATCTCGAAAAACATTTTATCGAGAATTTAAAAAGGTTGTAGATGCATCAGATATAATCATTCAAGTACTTGATGCTCGTGATCCTCTTGGATGTCGATGTCCCCAAGTTGAACAAGCTGTTTTAACATCAGGAAAAAATAAAAAACTTATTTTATTACTCAATAAAATCGGTATTGATTGTTTTAAATTAAATTAAGAAGATTTGTTTATTTTATTAGATCTTATTCCACGTGATAATCTCGATAAATGGTTAAAATATTTACGTAATGAATTTCCAACAATTGCTTTTCGTTCATCAACTCAAAATCAACGTGATCGATTAGTATGAATTGATATATTTGATGAAAAGAAAATTTTTCAAACTTATGTCTTTTTTTATCTAGGGTCATGTTAAAGCATCATTAAAAGCTTGTGATGAACACTTGCTTAAGTCATCAAATAAATGTATTGGTGCATCGACATTAATGAATCTTCTTTCGAATTATTGTCGAAAAAATGATATTAAAACAAGTATCACTGTTGGCATCGTTGGTAAAAATTTTATTTAAAAAGCAATTTATAAAAGAATTTTTTTTTTTTTAAAGGATTTCCTAATGTGGGAAAAAGTAGTGTAATTAATAGTCTTAAACGAACTCAAGCATGTGAAACTGGATCAATGCCTGGAATAACTAAGTAAAATCATTTCTTAAATATTTAAATTTTATTGAAAATATTTTTCAGACAAATGCAAACAGTTAAATTAGACAAATTAATTAAATTATTCGATAGTCCTGGTATTGTTATGTCGAAGGAAACAAGTCCAGCTAGTCTCATTCTTCGTAATTGTATTCGAGTAAGTTAAATAGAGCTTAAGATTTTTAGTAAATAAATCAATACTATAGCTAACTGTCGGGTTGAAAAGTTTATTGCGTAATCTTGGAATGCAAAGGCAACTACTGTTATTCTTTAGAAGAGGTACTGAATAGTATTTCAAAGTATGGATTAGATTTTAAAAAATACATAAGATTGTTTTGTATTTGTACAAGCGCTAACTGCAACTATCGCATTTATGAAGACTGAAATTACTCACTAACATAGAGAAATTGTCTTGTTTTTGCTTTGTTACTTAAGAAGAATCGTTTATATTTTGTACTGTCGAACTCCGTTTGATCTTATATTTTGAATTGTAACTTCCTAATTACGATTAAAAATCAAGCCAATTAGTAGGAAATTACCACTTGTTGGAACGAGTAAAATTGCGTTGCCTCATTTTTGTTGCCTTTCCAAAAAGTGACTATTGTAAAATTAATTAGTTACTGCGAAAGTAGATCATGGTTTGTGTATTGTTGATAAACACAAAAGCATGAGAATGATGGATACTAAGTTTACTCGGTGCACAACGTAAAAAAGTAAAAGTAATCATGGTCTCGTGTTATTTCTTTAACAAACAATGTAATTTAAAAATACAATAGGCGTGGATGTAGCTGTTGATTTTGTCT